GTGGGGGGGGGGGGGGGGGGGTGGGGCTTAGTAGCAATGCAGACAGACTCCCAAAATCCGCCGTCGCCCACCTGGTTTGACAACGAAGAACTGTCACTCCCCTTCGGCTCTGGCGTCCGCCCTAAAATTCGTTCTAAAACCCATCCGCAAGACAAGAACGAGACACTATGCAAGAAATGCGGATAGAACTCCATTCGTCGCCCAGCAACTTCTGTCGCTGCGAGAACGTTCTCTCACCCAATCGTGCACGAATCTCGGCTTACCAGGTCCAGACAGCCATAGCATTGTGCGTCTTCCAGCCCTCCCCTCCCCTCCCCCTTAAAGAGCGGCATAGGAGGGGTTTGAGGAACAAGACGACCCCAGAACCTGTCCAAAACGACCTCTCCAACCGCCTGCATCCAAAGTGACATAGGCTTCTCTGGCTTCTGCCAATTTTTTGCTGGTGTTGGATCCCACAGGCCCCGAAGAAGGACTGGCGGTTCGGCCTCGGTGCAAAATGGGTCTCGTGGCTGCGGTCTGCGGTCGTTCCACGGAAACGAGATGGCTTTGTGCCGGTCAGGAAGCTGCCCAACCGTATTTTGGTGCGTTCGATCCTTGACTATTTCTGCCCTACTGGCACCGTCGACTTGCAAATAGAAATCGATCACGTGTCCAAGAAGATGAGCTGGCGGAATGAGGAAGTTGAATGCGTATGTACGTATCATTTCCCACTTTTCCCTGGCTTCTATGAGTCTGAGAGTGCGTTTCCCGCATCGACATGCAACCCCGAATCTTGATTCCCCCTCCTAATTTTATAGTCGGTTCAAACCTTGCGCGGTGACAGACTTGATTTGAAACGACTCTCGTCCACGAGAACGACCGGACCCCGCTCCTGCAGGGTCGAAGCCAGACGGGAATTCACTTCGGCGAGGTGACCAATCAGAAGCGGGACGCGCGTCGGTCTCTTTCCATACGCAATCCACCTCCTTCCAATCCTCCTCCTTCCAATCCTCCTCCTTCCAATCCTCCAGAATTTTCGGCTGACTCACCCCTGGCATCGCCGAGTGCCGCCGTATCCGAACAACGGTCGCCTTAGGATAAAAAAAAAAAGGTTAGGTAATGTAGCTTCGAAACTGGATTCGATCGACATGCATATTTCGAAAGGATGTCCTTCGTCGAACTCGAAAATCGATTTATTGGAATAAGAGCAGTCTGAGAGAAAGTATTAGCACGTAAATACCCATGGGGACTCAACATAAGTTTCCTAATTTCCATGGTTGCAGATGGAACGTCATACAAGATACGGGCAGGAAATTTTCTGGACACCACATCCAACATGAGCAGGTTTTTCCATGAGAACTCGAATGGTTGTTCGGAACCCAATCGGCAGCCTTTTTTTCCCTTTTGCTACTTTCGCGCCCGACCAGACACGCCGTATGACCCAGCCCAGCTGAGCAGGTATCAGCAACAATTTCCACTCGTCCGGATTTATGTGGGACAGAAGGAACTGACACGAGCGATGCAAAAAAGGGGGTCCCGCATTGGCACTGCAGTTCATTTGGGGTTCAAAATAACGGAGTTCAAAACGAAAGTTACAGAACTAGCTCGCCCGAAGAGGAATCAGGCCCCGCCTCAAAGAGGGAGATGGGAAACAGCCGCACGTCGAACGAAAGCCACAAGCAGAGACACGAAAGAGACTAAGGAGGCCGGGGGCAGAGACGCGAAGGGCATGACGCAGTTACGACTGACAGGGTTGTCATAACTGATGAGAAGCCAAGGGACTTTTCGGCTCTTTCCAGAAGGTCAATAAGGATTAAATGTTTTAAGCGACATGCTACCATGAGCATCTTTGATTTGAATTTCACCATTCTCATCGTTGCCCATTGGGTATGATTTCATGATGTACGGTTTATTGTTCATCGAAATGGAATGACTGCAACCACTACAGGAGAAAAAAAAACCGGCGGGAATTGCAAGGAACTCGCTCGCACGAATCACTTTCGGAATGGGCTTGCATTAATTACCCAATGTTCCACACAGCTTGCTTCCACCCCTCCCCATTGCGAAAGAAGTGCTATGACGTTTCTAAAGGCTCATGATGCCGAGCTGAACTCATTTCCCGGCCATGGGTTTCAAACTTATTGAAACGATGGGAATACTAGTAGCATTGATCCTAGGCTTCCAATCCATAGCATCTTTTTTTTTTTGTCGAAGAAATCTGAAGCACAGACTCAGACATGCCGACAGCTAGACGGCCGAACGTTCGACACCTATGGCGAATCTGGTTCTCCCGCGAGGCACCAGCGGGGGAACGAGAACTGCATTTCGAAACTAGTCTCCAAATATATCGGATTACCGAGTTAAAACTGAATATTTTTTACTGCCGTTCATATCTTGGGCAGAGGTGTGAGCTCGATATGACCTAAGGGGTCGAAACGAGTGGCAACTTTCAGCCCGAAATGCGACTTTTTGTCTGCGTCTTAGGATATGGCATTAGTTAAGTTCTGTCACTGAGGGTTTTTAAATGGTGTTTAGCACAGAAGATAAATCAGGGGTACGCTGGGAAGGAAAGGAGTAGCTGGAGCCCAACTGGATGTGGGGTACCATTCCAACTTTATTTTTTTAAACAAAATTTCATGAACACGTTAAAGGAGTAAAGGGATTTTCGGTCGCGAAGGAGAAATATGCCCAAACTTCGCTGTCCGAGTTATCGGGAGGGATACAAATGAGCAGTTTAAACATGGTCACATGTCTTTCTTTAGAAACTGCGACACGTGGATGGGGAGCAGAGCATCCATGAAACATGGTATTGGCAATTCTAGATGCCAACCTGAATCAAGTCCCCCCCCCCCTCAACTGAAAGCTAATGCAAATGAAGAATGTATGACAAATAGTGCGAATTTCAAACAGCAGCCAAACAGCGACATAGTGTCAGTAGGGGGGGTAGCATAATGGGGTATTTATTGATATATTCAGATTGTAAGGAGGAAGGGGGAAGGGGGGGGGGGGAGATATGGTTGGATGTGGACGTCATACTTCTCTATGCAGGCAGGCTTGGCGAATGGACAACTAATGTAGTCACCCTTTTCCATGGCGTCTCTACCAGCACATTTCCCAATAGCGAATCCCCCACAATGTCCCTCATAGACATTTGGACTTAATTTGCTTCTATGGTTATTAGGCCTTCCTCTTTCATCTTTATGATACTCATTGAGTGCCCATACCCAGTTACTGTGGCAATTCCTGCCAACACTAAACTGGATTGCAGGGACAGAGCGACAGTAGGCATTTCATCAACGTTCTCTCACATCGACGAGAATGGAGGGATGCCATCGGTTCCAGGGGTCAAGCAATTTGGGAAGTGCCACATGAAGATTAACATTCCCCATTCAAGTTTTCGCCTATAACCCTGATGTGCTATTTTGCTGAGCAGGGGTAATCAACCAGAGGAGCCAGCAGGAGGAAAAAGAATGCCACAGTGCATGAAATACAAAGAAAAAAATGTATCAATTGATTACATGACACCATCACAGACATAGGTTTCATGTTTGTTTAGAAAGGCAAACAGCAACACCAGTTAGTTCGATGCAGCACAGTTCATTGTTCTAAGGACTTCCAAGAAAACCTCATTTGCAGAGGAATTTCTAGAATACAATAAGATCACCAGAAGTTAACTGAAATCCTTCCTAATTCATTCACACATGCTCTCATCATTCAGTCATCACAGAAGTCCATCAATCAGAGAGATCATCTTCATCAAGAGAGACATAGAGGACATCTTCCTCGTATTCTTCCACCTCTTGATCTGGTTTGGATGAATGTCCTTGTCCATCTTGATGCCCATCCACTTTCTCCTCTATGGATTCATTCAAGTCCATGGATGATTCAACATTCCCCTGACCATTTGAAACGTCCTTCAGAAAAACTTCCTTTCTAGAGGGCAGGTCATCCATTGCTGCAGCTTCCACCACTGAAAAATGTGAAGAACCACAAGACCAAATCAGAATTCATTCCATAGTATTCATATAAAGGCATTTTTTTTTAGGACAATAGCAATGCCAATAAGGAAACATTACATTTGAGCTGCTTCCTTTGGACAGCTTTTTTCTGCTTGGCTCGCTTCCGCTTCCTATTGATCCGGGATTTTGATCTCTGCTCTTCCCTGAAGAGTTGTTTCACCAAGTTTTGGGGCAGGTTCTTATCTTCTCGTAATAAGAGGAAAAATACTCCTCCTGAATTTCGCCTTCGAAAACCATCCTGTGATGAAAATATAATAATAGTTTAAGAACAAATATCAGCAAAAGTCAGAAAATCCATGCTCTTCGAGTTAATATTTACATTAACCTCCACAAGCCATCCATTAGTAATAAATAGATGTGTCAAAAAAGGGCATAGATGACTCCATATGCCTTCAGTATGACATAATGTAATACAAGGAGATTTCATTCATGAAATAATTTGAGAAAATCATAAATTAAATTATTTACTAAAATCAGAAAATAGCATAAATTAGTTGCCCTTGTAGCTGCCAAGATTGCAGGTACTGGTAAGTCAAAAAAAGATAGAGAAAAAATTGGGAATAATGAAAGTCTGTGGTATGTTAAGTTAGCTTTGGTATTCTAAAATTATAAGAGCTTCAGTGTTTAATTTCTCTATGGAACAACACACCACATGACAGCTTTGATGGAATTCAACACTGAATTTTATTGAGCCTGCGGGCACCCTCAATTAAGATAGAACTAAGGCTTTTTCAGCTGACTCCTAAATCCTTCAGAGCAGAGGACACAGAGTAGGCCTAAGACAAAGACACCCTCAGAATGGAACCATGATCATGGAGGGACCCAAAGTATGGAAAATGCGACAAGGCAGCAAAAGAGAGAATTCAATAGAGGTATAAGAGGGGGAGATATCATGATCACTCCCCCCTGATCCAATTCCTAGGGCTTTGCATTGTCTCAAGCACCCATTCCTATCTCATTTAGTTCAAGCCATTATTCAATGAAGCAAACAAAAGAATCATGAGGTACAATGAAGAACAAAATCCATGTTCTACAGATAGTAAGAGGAATGTAGTTCATCAAGACAGGCATCTAACACCATGATAGTCTAATATTTAAGTATTCATGAAGATATAAATGACTCATGACTTACAGCTGTCATGAGACCTCCTTCTGCTTCAACCTCTCTTGTTTTCTCAAATATGTCGAAGACCACCTGTGCTCCCATCAGCTCGACTGTTCTTCCTAGAAATAAAAGCTATAAATAAAAAATGTGAAACCCCGACAAAAGTAATGATACATGTACAGGGTATGGATGTTACCGATAATTAATCGGCCGATAAATAATTCAGTAATTTCTCGTAGCAGTTTTATCGGAAACCGATGCGACTTGCCCACCAATAAACCGATACCCAAGGTTCCCTTTTAAACGTCGGTTTTTAGTAGTGCATGAACCAACAAGAATATAGGGTAGGCACAGAGGATGCTTTGGAAGAAAAAGTCAAGAATCCGAGGGCAATGGCCTTGCTTTTGTTTGTTCTTTTACGTACTTTTAATTCTCTGATAGTGGTGCAGTCGGCCTGATGGTGAGCAGAAGTATGTGGGGGATACCTAAAGAAACGGAAAACCAGGGAAGAGACGCATGGCGAGGTACATGTGCAACAGCTACTTCCGCTCGCTAAGAACGGACAAGTGGAGGTGAGTCACCAGTGTTTCCATACGCATTCGTCCCTGCGGAAATTTCACTAAAATTTCTCGATGGCTCGCATGCCAAACTAGGTAAAGCGAGCAAAAACGCACCCTTTCATCTTTCTCCTCAGATAAGCCTCGCCCAAGACCCTCGTGCAACTCACCACCATCCCACTACCACTTCTATGCTCACTGCTCACCTTTCCCGTATCCCGTCAAAGTCAATTAATAAAACACTCCCTTCGCTGCCGACTGAGCGTCTCCTTTCCTCGGACAATCCGCAATATCTCAAATTCAGCATCATTCTCGAGTTCGCGCGTGTGCACTTCGTTGCTCCGACTTGGCCTGAATGTTCGACACCTAATTTAAGCCAGATAAGGGGACCTTCTATTAATAGCTAAAGAGCTCATGGCATTCAGGTCTGATTCTTTTGTCCTCATATGGCCTGGCAGCGGCGTAGCGACAGAAGGTGGGGGGGGGGGGGGGGTCGGCGGCACGTACTCCCCACTTTTTTCATCCACGCTACGCTAATGTGGCCCGGGTATGTATGAATCAACTGTAGCTCTCCCCGTCAGATACATTTTGAGGATACATGTTTACGCACAAGAGGAAATGCTACGCCAAATTCCAGTCAGAGGTGGTCTTTTCACACACTTCCTCCACTTTGTGCTTGATCAGACTTCCAATTTAAAAAATTTAATATCGAGGCTCACCTTATTTCATTTCCCTCCGAAAACTATGTAGGTTAGCGTTAGCCTACAATATGCATCTTCACTATGCCTTCCAGTCCCATGGGATTATAACGCTGCAATCTGCGGTAATCATCATAATTACCGGTTATATCGGACTCCTCCTGATGAATACCGGTTTATCGGGATCGGTAAGAAATTCCTGATCAGTAACATTCCTAGAAATGGGTGTCCCAAAAGTATAGTCAGAAACATAATGGGGCATTACCAGGAAACAAAGCAAATGAAATTAAGTTAATGTGCTTGTGCCATTCGTGTCAGGAGTTACATTGCACAGTTATCTAGGGATATGAATGCATTACACCTGAAAAGTAGTCTTGCCATGGCAAAAATGTGCTCTTTCAAGTACCTCAAAAGGAAACAATCAGGAGCCAATGAGTCTGGCAACCTCAATGGTCAAGGGATTTTACCAAAATGTGGAAGAATAAGCTAAAGGAAAATGGTACACAATAGCATTATTGTATCCTAGGTTTAGTAACATGTGCCATCCTGGTGGAACCATAAGTCCCTCACAGGAAAGTAATGGTACTGTAGTGCACACAATTGCCACAAGCAAGATTGAGAATATTTGGAAGGCATTGTTTTTAATGTGTAACATGTGCATGCACAAATCTCCCAATAAGTGTGTAATAATACTCTGGATATCCAGATATCTGATAATCCAGATTTCTAAAAGAATATTAACTTCTTTCTCCTTTGCTTTGTTCTCTGGTAATGCACCCTTAAAATTGCAACACTGCATTTAGGACACCATGTTTTTACACTTGGAGCACTAGTGCCATCATGACATCTTATACCCACCGTGCACCAAAATCACCAGAGTCAAAAGTTTTAATGATGCATCACACAGATGAGGAATTCGAAGTACAAATTTATGCCATATTCCTATGCTGAAATGGGAGAGTGCACCTCCATTAATATAACGTTATGCAGGAATTGTAATAACAAACAATACTTCCTACTCCAGGCTTGCAGTTGTAAGAGGTGAATCGTATGTTTAGATTCTAGAAAATAATTTGCTTCAAAGCCAGAATCTAAGATAGTTGAAGATGACAGTCATTCATATAATGGAATTCCACATCATAATGATTTCTAAACCATGTCAAAAAAGGCATGAAATCTAGATTTAAACTCACTCAGTCAGTACAGATGAAAATGCTTTGAAAAAAGACATAGCAAGTGACTATCAGTAGACTCACTCATGAGCTCAGTGTTTGGTTCAAGGAGTTTCGCAGAGACATCCTTCACGATATCCTCATTGGTATCACAAGTAGAAACTGACAGAGGTTGTAACAACCGTGCATTTGACTTCCTCTTTTTGCCACCTGAACTCATACATCTGCCCTTACTTTTAATTTGGTCTGAAGCATGACACTCTAAGGGCTTCTTGATGCGATTTATCACAATGATATCATCCAGACTCGACTGCAAGGGGGAAACACCAGGCTTCAACACCTGCCGCAAGTTATTGAAGTCCTTGGAGTAATCTTCGACACCTCGTGAAATTGGTGGTTTGTTCTCCTCTTCTTCAACTTCCACTTTATTCACAGTCTCTGTAAGCACAGACTCCTCAGCCACATCCTTCCATCCTGAGAATGGTTTCTTGGCTGGAGGCACCAAAGGTTTCACAAGACGAACCTTCGCTGGAGGCCGTCCATCTTCTAATGAAGACCTGTCACTATCTGAATCTTCACTACACTCGCCTTCTGATACAGTGTCCTCATCTGAATGGGACCGAATTTTGGCACCTTGCTCTTGGCTTTCTCGTTCCAGTGGTTCATAATCAAACTCTTCCATTTCAGTCTAAACCTGCACTCGAGAGTTCATGCAGCAGGTCTCACACCATTTGTAAATTACCTTCAAAGAAATTCAAAGCACACCTTTTGAAGTTGCTACAGCAAAGCCATAGGCTACCAAAGTTTCTTTATTACATTGTAGACTTGTTCAATTATATTTGCCAACATATCTGCTCAAACATATCTGCATAGGCTAGCTTGGAGTAAGTCACTAAATTATACTATAGAGGGCATTGATCCTTTATAAATGTGTATACTTGTCAAGGAGGGGCTGACACATTGAGAACAATTGAGTACACACCAGAATTTTAAGAGAAAAACAAAGTTTTTTGCAAGAAGCTGTAACTGCTAGTAATTGGAATCTGGAACTCAACTATGGCTACACAAGTTTGTGGCACTCATATTTCCACCTTCCTCAGAAATGAGTATCTTCCCTTGATTTTGTATACCCAGGTTTTCACAGTAAATTATTAAAAAA